ATACCAATAAAAAAAAAACTGTATGGTAAAAGGTAAAAGAATTATTTATTTTTAGTATTTATTTTGAAAATTTGTACCGAATTTCTTTTTTCATGTCCTAGTCTTAGAAATACTTAAACTGTCAAGTTTTATTTTTTTATTAAGGAAAAATATCAAAAAAATAAACTTTTTAAACTTTTTCTTTTGTGTGTGGATATTTTTGTTTCATTTCTTCAAGTCTGTCTATTCTAGTTTACTGAAGATTTTTTTTAATTTTAAATTTATAAAAAAAAATACAAAAAAAATCAACCCAAAAAACAAAAAGTGGTTGAAAAAATTTGTCAAACATAGCAATAATGATGTCCTGAGTTGTCGATCTATCGACGTAAAATAAAAAAATCATGGACATCATTTTTATTTACAAAAAGACCACTATAAATAATATCATTAGCTAAAAAAATTAAAATAATAACAATTTTGATATAAAAATATGAAGGTAAATTAGCGAAATATCCCTATCTAACATTGTGTAGTAGGAGAGGTTCAAGATAATTTTTTTAATTAGTTAAGGTCCCTTAATGAAATTTCTCTGTGATCCTAATATAGAAATTCGGTGTAAAAATTAAGGCCTTGTTTGATTTGTGTTTCTCAAAAAATTTTGGAAAAAATTCTCTACAAATAAATTTTCAAAAGTAATCAAACCAAACAAATTTTTCTAATATTTTTTTCCAAAACTTGTTTGGTTTACAAATTTTCTAAATAAATCTCTCTCTCATACACATCAAATCAATCACTTTTTTCAAAATTCTCTCTCAAAATAATTTTTCAAAACATCTTTTGAAAAAAAGTCAAACTAAACAAATTTTCGTACTTTTTATCTCAAAACATGTTTCTCAAATACAAACCAAAAAGGCTTAAATTTTTTTGTGTTGAGTCAAAATTTCTCTGAATTAGACAAAATTTATCTGAGTCAATTTTTATTTATGAAAATGTTGACGGACCTTAATTACTATAAAAATATTACATGTCATTTATTTTATAAAATCTTAACATTAGAAACTTTAAAAAAAATTTCTCCAAATATGAACTCAGTCAATAACTCACAAGGCATTTACACTATGCTATTATCATGAAAAAAATGTATTTAGGCCTCGTTTGGGAAGGCTATGTTTTAGTCAAAAAGTTAAAAAATTACTAAATTAACCAAAAAGCCAACAACCCATACTAAAAAGTCAAAGATTCTCTTTTCTCTCTACTTTTTGTACATCTTTTCGTAATTAGCCAAAAAATCGTCCCAAACATACTAATTTTTTTAGCTTATATTTTAGTTAAATAGTCAAAAAATTACTAAATTAACCTGTTCTCAAACGAGGCCTTAATATACCTTCAGTAATGCATGGCGTTGTAAAAATCACGTATTATATTGATTATTGACTAATTTTGTTGAGACTTTGTTTATGGCGTTGTGGCTAGTAGTGAGTAGACAACACTTACACACTAGTAAGAAAGATATTAGGGTTAAACACTTTTAAATAGCAAATTTTAACATAACAACTGACTTTTGTCAATTAAATTAAAAAATAATAATAAGGCAAATGTTCCAAATTTTTACTATTTACATTTGTGTGAAATAGAAAGCCATAGGAAAAATATATAACAAGTCTCTGTAATTAGATTTCGTTAATATTAGTTATTATTAAAATTGAAGATCAATTATACTGGTGAATTTAAAATAAAAATAATTAATTTTTTATAAATAATACTATGTGTATATAGACAATTTTATTTGATGTGACTTAAAATATATTTTAATTTAATTTGTTTTATTAAAAACAAAAAAATAATAATAATTAAATGGTTCAATGAAACCATGCGCATGGTAACAAACTCATATGAATGTGTGGTTCAGTAGCTGTTTAAGACATTAAACTCATTACCAAAACAACTTTTTTATTAGCATGGGGCATATCATAGCAAAAAGTCAAAAGAGGTTATGGAATGGTTGTTCTACCATTTTTTATTGCGTGGACTACCTTTTTTGTCGTTAATATATTTTAAAGTGGTTTGAAATGATCTAAATAAGTATATTTTTTAATTTTTTATGAAATATGAGTTGAGTATGGATTGAATTTTAAGTGATATAATAGAAAAGCGATGTGACTTAAATAAGATAATGTGACTCAAATAGGATAGTGACTTTTTGACTTTTTAAATTATGACAAACAAGGACTTAGTATAGTTTTATTGATTTGTTTAGGCTTATTTAGGCCAAGTTTGGCATGTGCCCAAAAAGTCAAAAAGTCAAAAAATTACTCAAAAATTAAAAAGTTATCACTATTCACAAAAAGTCAAAAAGTACGGCTGCACAACTCTCAATCCTAATTTTTCCATACACACTAATTTATATAATTTTTTAATACACATTTTCCCATAAAAATTTAAAAAGTTAACCCAAACAATCATATTTTTTTCTTCAACTTTTTTAGTCTAAAAAATTAAAAAGTGCACTTATTTAGGACATTCCAAACAACCCATTAATTGTATTAGATTTGAGGAGAAAAAACTATATTTGAATTAATAATTGCACCCTTATAGTGATAGTTTCGATTCAATCCTTTTGGCAAACTTATTTATAACTAATGTAATTTACTCGACAATGTTACGTAACTCAAATTTTGTTGCTCAAAAGTGGCTCAAATGGCCAAAACGACGTCGTTTTGAGTACAGAACAACATAAAAATGGCCAAAACGACGTCGTTTTGGCCATTTGAGCCACTTTTTAGCCACAAAATTTGAGTTACGAGATATTTTCCTTTAAACTATTCCAAAATTTTAAAATATTTGACAAATTTATTTTGTTCCAAATTATTTATAATTCTTATTTATTTATTTATTTGTTAAATGTGTTTCAGATGTTTCATTTAAGGTAATTTTTTTTAAGTTAAAAGTAAATTTTATCAAAAGAGTTGATCAACTTGCCGACTGTGATTCACAATATCTATATTTATGTATTACCTTGCAGATGTATTAAATCACTTCCATTAGGTATGTTTGGTGTAGTTTATTGCAAGACAAAGGTAGAAATAATTATAAAGTAGAAGTCAAAGGTACTTCTCCCATAACTTTTACATAATTAATTTTTTTAACTTATTTAAATTATAAGCACAAGATACAGTAAACAGTTTGGTATAAAATAAGTTAAAAAAATTAATTTAAATAGTCTAGTAAACAATCTGGTATAAAATAAAATATAAACAACTCAAATAAATTGTATTAAACAGACTTATATAATGCAAAAGGCTACCTTTAAAGGGCATGGAGAGGCAGTTTCTTAAAACCCATGTGCTCAAATTAGTTAATTTAACTCAAATTAACCAAGGCATGCATTAATTTTTTTCAACAAATCATAATTGAAACAATAAAGGAAAGAGCTTTTACATTTAGGTCAAGTTTGGCATAATTAGAAAAAGATAAAAAGTCAAAAAGTCACTATCCTATTTAAGTCACATCATCTTATTTAAGTCACATCACCTCTCTAACACATCACTTCAAACCCAACCCAAACTCAACCCATATTTTATAAAAAGTCAAAAAGTACACTTATTTAGTCTTTCCAAACTAGGCCTTAATCTTCCTAAATCAAGCAATACTCTCCCAAGATGTCCTTATAATAAAATAAAAAACTAATCACAAAATGGTCTAATCACATTGGATTATATTGGGGCTCATTTTAATCATTCAATGATTGCCAAATGTAATCTATCTCCCAAAATGTCAATTCTATCATGTGGGTTGACATATACACAACCACGTGCTACAAATTTATGGGGGCAATTATGTCATTTACCTTATAGGAATACTAAAATACCAAAAAAAGGTATTTCAAGAAGTGATAAAAATAAAATTTGTGGTGTTAAAATCAACTAATTATGAATGTAGTTGAGATCAAAATATATTTAAATTTAAAATATTTTGTATGTATTATTTTTGGTAAATAACATTTATGTAGTGAGGGTACTTCACAACTATTAATATAATAAAAACTAATATTTATTGACTTTGTGTGAAAAAGTAGTTAAAGGTGGGGTGTGGGAAAAAAAATGTACTCTTCTGTGTATATCACACATTTTTTAAATTATTTTTAACAATTATATTTTATATTTAAAAATTAAATTGTAACTTGGCTAAAAATAAAAAAATAAAAAATTACCCAAGACAATTAAACTGTTAAAAGACAAACTGAAATAAATCATTTATCAATTTTTATTAAGTAAAATTAAAGAAAAAAATGATATTTTAGTCGTTATATATATATTTTTTGATATTTTTGATATTTTTTTCATTGAACATAATAACTAAAATATAATATTTTTGATAGTTTTATTTAACAAAAATAAACAAATAATTTAAATTAAAAAATAAAATTTAAATTGATAAAATAAAAAAAATCAAGAATTATGTGGTGTTTTAAAAAGATGGTAAAAAATTAGTTTTTTTATTTTTTTGTAGCTTTTGGTTTTTTCAGTGTAACAAAATAGAGATGTGATATGACATAAAAAAAGTCAAAAAAATCAAAAAAGTTGGCTTTTATCAGCTTGCCAAAGCCTTGAGATTCTGTTTGTAATTTTCCAAAAATTAAAATGAAAACAATATAAATATATATTTTTTTCAAAAGAAAATAGATCCATAACGCTGTGTTTGGTTGGGAGATTTGGAAAATAAAATAAAAAAAGAAGGTAAAATGTGAATAAAATATACTTATATTTCACATGATTTCACACATTTATTTTTAATTTTTTTTTTAAAATTTCTTAACTAAACGCAACGTACTGACATGTTATTTATTTATTTTTTCTAATTTTTTTTAAATTTTTTTTAACTAAACACAAGGTGGAAAAAAAAAAAATTACATATAAAACCACACTTTTTTAGTAAAAAAAAAAAAAAAAAAAACCAATGCTGTGTTTGGCGCGTATATATTATAACAAACAGACGAAACCAAAAAACTAGCCCCCACGAAAAAGCCTCCATAGGCCCTCAAGGATCAGAAACACAAACCCACGTACTCTCTCTCTCTCTCTCTCTCTCTCTCACACACACACACACACACTTTTAGAGAGAGAAAGAGGAGCGAGAGAGAACCAGACCAGACACAGACTGATACGGAGGGAGAGGGAGAGAGAGAGAGAGAAAAAACTAGTAGAAAAGTAATCTAAACCCCATCCTCTCTCTCTAAATTCTCTTCTTTCTCTCTCTAAAACACCAACCCCATTCGATCAAACCCTCCCCTTATATACACAAATATCTGTGTCTATATATAGGTATATACGTATATTGTTTGTATAGATTGGTGTGTAATGGAGAGGTACTCGCAGTCGGATCCGGCGCCGGAATGGAGGTCTCCGGGGGACGAAACCGGGCTCCAAGGTCACTCCATTGACACTCTCTTTGCTTCAATTTTTTGTTTGATTTTTGATTTCGCGGATTGCATTGATGTGGATTTGATGTCAATTCGTAATGTGGTGTTGATTTTGCAAATGCAGAGCCTATGTGGCAGCTGGGATTGGGAGGTGGTGAAGAGTCGTACCCGGAGCGGCCCGACGAGGCTGATTGTATTTACTATTTGAGGACTGGGTTTTGTGGGTACGGTTCGCGGTGTCGGTTCAATCATCCCCGGGACCGTGGCTCGGTAAATTCTCCAATTTGCCTATTGTTTTATTCAAATTTGGATATTTTAGGGTTTAATTAAAGGGTTTTGATGAATGTTGTGTGTGATCATTTCAAATTGTATTTAATTTGTCTGATCATGTGATTTTTACGTATTGATTTGATGTGGATGCATGTAATTTAGCTTGTCAGATTGATGTGAAGTAGTGGGGTGTTGTTTTGAGGAAAAAAAGTTAATATGATTAGGACTTTTGCAAATTTGGAAACTTTGATTGAGAAATCAGTAGTCTTTAGTTTGAATTTGAATGGAAACAAACTGTCAGGCTGTGGGAGCTCTGAGGACGGGCGGAGGGGAGCACCCGGAGCGCGTGGGCCAACCCATATGCCAGGTACGTGGTTTTGAATGCTTTTCATAAACTTTTAAATCTTGAAATTGAAATATTTATTAGATATGCTTGATTCATATTGGGCAATGCACATTTACTATTTTTACTGGGTCACATCTTATCTATTCCTTTGCTATTATCTGAAAAGAGCAAGTTCCTATACCGTTATCTGTGAAATCTTTTTGTTATACAGTTGATCAAAATAGGAAGTTCCTTTTGTAATTAAATCTGCCCCTTTGTTTTGACCATGTTGTGTTTCGACAATTTGTAGTATTATATGAGGACGGGAATGTGTAAATTTGGCGCATCCTGCAAGTATCACCATCCAAGACAGGGAAGTGGATCTGCTATCCATGTGGCAGTAAATATGTTTGGATACCCACTACGACCGGTTTGAATTCCGCACTTGTTTGTCTATCTCTTGGTTTCATTCAACTTTTTTTTTCTTCTTAACACATGCTTACTAAGTCAGCTCAAATTAGAGTTATTGTCTCAGGGTGAAAAAGAGTGTTCGTACTATGTGAAAACGGGGCAGTGCAAGTTTGGCGTAACCTGTAAATTCCATCATCCACCACCAGCTGGCATACAAGTGCCAGCACCGACAGCTGGACCTTTGCCCGTGCCACCACCTGTGCCTGCTCCTGGAATTTATCCCTCAATGCCATCTCCTTCTGTTCCATCATCTCAACCATATGGAATGGTAACTGGAAATTGGCAGGTTGCAAGGCCTACCCTCGTTCCAGGTTTCCAAGGGGCTTACAGTCACGTGCTACTTCCTCCGGGGATGGTTCCACTCTCTGGTTGGAATCCTTACCAAGTACGTGCATTAGCTTGATTTGGATTTTTTTTGAAAAATATGTTTATGTTCCCTAGTAAGTGGTTGAACCACGTGGTGCAGGTAAGTGCAGTACCATCCCCTAGTACCCAATCCACAGTTGGAGCAGCACCTGTTTATGGGATGACACAATTATCTCCTTCGGCACCTGCATATACGGGAGGTTATTTACCCTATCCTTCTCCTGCTGGTCCTTCAAATAATAGCCAGAAGGAACACACATTTCCAGAAAGGCCTGACCAACCTGAATGTCAATATTACATGAAAACTGGGCATTGTAAATTCGGATCATCATGTAGGTACCATCATCCGCCTGAATGGAGTACACCGAAAATAAATTTTGCCCTTAGCCCCATGGGTCTTCCCCTACGTCCAGTAAGTATCTAGATAGAAACTCCATTGCACATGAAGGTTGTTAGAATTTCCCATCTTTACCTTCACCTACTCCACTACACACTCCACTTCACCTACCTCCACTTCACCACACACTCCACTTCACCTAACCCACTATCACCTCCACTACACCTACTACCACATTTTCTTCTATATATAGATTGTATAGGAATTGTAATTCATCAATCTTGTAATACAGAATCAATACTACAATCAATAATACATCAATTTTTACAAAGGTTCATATTCTTGGTTTGATATTTGTCACTGTGAGGAAGTTTAAATTGATTTAAGATTTGTTACTCAGTATATCTATTGAGAAAACTGATTGCCTGAGATGACAATTGAATATTACTTGAAGTTGGCTTTTATGTGGGAATTTGAAGCTTATTTTCCTGATTTTTCTTATCTTTTTCGAAGTTGCAATCACCCCTGCTGCTCTGTATTTATACTTATTATATCACTGACACAAAGAAATTTAACTGATTATATACTTTGTGGGATTCCAATTTTTTGCATCCGATGTAAGCCTATCTATCACGTCTTATGTAGGTTTTACTTGTTAACCTGTGTTGAAGGATATATATTTTTTCCATTTTTTTGTTTGTGTGAATGCTATTTTCTTTAGCAAATGGTGCACGAGTACATTTTTAAAAATATTCTTAAGGTACAGACTGCATACCTTAAGGTGGTTGTAGCGGTGAACATTTTATTGAAATGATGAAAACCTAATGGCAAAAAAAAAAAAAAGCCTTCCTGTCTGGTAATTTTGTTGGATTACATGGTCCAATTTTATGAAAGCATCAAATGCTTTGCACAGTTGCAAGGCTATATCTATGATGTGCTAACCTGTTGCAAGGCTATATATATTTCCTCTGCACAGTTGTTTTCTGTACCAGAGTGATACTCCTTTATTTATTTTTTATTATTATTGTTTCATATGGATTTGTGATTCTAGATCGAAAAATAGATTTCATTTGTCAAATTATAATGGAGTGATGGCAAAATTTTGTCAAATATAGTGTTACAGTGTTATTCATTCATACAATTTATTCTTGTCCTGAAGGGTACTTTAAGCTGAATGCAAATTAAGATTGTAAGCAGCATAGAATGTTAAATATAATTAGGTACGAAGATGCTACTTAGGGGGTGTTTGGCAAAGGCTATTTTTTGGCTTTTTGGGCTAAAATTCACAAAAAAACAAAATAGGCTAAAATAGCCAATAAGACAAAATGTCACATCAAATCCATAATTATTTCACTTTTTCTCTCACAAACATCACATCCAACTATAAAAAAAATCCAACTATAAAAAAATCCAACTATCTCTCAAACACAAAAATTTTAGCCTACTAAAATAGTCAAAAACTAAAATAACAACTTTCCAAACACCCACTTAATTAGTATGTAATTCGTGATGGGGACATTTATGGAATATAGTTGGATGCAATTCATGAGAAACATTTGCAATCACCAAAATGGGTTTTTGGTTTGATGTGTTAAAGAGAACACAAAAGAAAATGTTGAAACAGATACAATTTCAATGAGTTCCATCTTACGAAGAAAAGAATATTGTGATGAACTAATAATGCTTATGAAAAGACTATAACTCACTAAAGGTAATTCTATTAAGATAATTTATTTGGCTAACAAAGTGATTCTTTTTGAGTTCCTGTGAATACTCTTTTATGTGGGTTTAGCGAGGGTACTTCGCAGCAGGCCGACTAGAATTTTACTTAGGAAGCATGTGGTGATGGTTTGTTCTTATTCGTTGGAAGCACACTAGTGTAGAGTCTTTATTCACGTGTTGCTTGAGAAGCTATTACCTTGTAAGGTGTCTGTCTTCATGTGGAGTGGTGCTTTGTTGACTGTGACTTCTTATGGATTCACTAAGAGTATACCAGTGGAGTATGAGAGTTCTATCTATAGAGCTCAGGGAATATCTTTGAAAAGATGATGTACGAAAGACTTGTATGTAAAGGATTACTTCCTTCTATTTGTAGAAGGTTAGTCACATGACTGTTATTAGTATTTGTCAGAAGTGATCAGGTTGTTAGGATTTGTCTCAGTTCTTGATATCGCTGATCCTGGCTCAGTGGTATGGTCTTTCTTGATAGGACTAACCCGTGACAGCTATTCTTGCAAGGTCATAATGTCAAGGTGAAACCTAACTCCCTAGCCTCCAAGACACCTGGAGTCCTGTAGCAGGTACCAAAGTCTTCAACATGTCTAAGCCTTGCCTTTTGGCTTAGGAACGTGAGTGGCGTGGTATAGCACCAGTGACACTTAGAGTGATGTAACTACATAGTAGATCATGCAGTTGTTACTTTTGCAGTAATAAGGCGTGTGGTATGACTTGCGCTGTTATAAGATGGCATGGACTCTTGACTCCTGACTCCAGACTCCCATAGGATGTCAGTTCGGCGAGGGTTCATAAAGATAAGTCTTAAGGCTCAAGCTTATATGAAAAGCTTGCTAGTCCTTTAATCCTACTAGGCTAGGACCAAACATGTGGACCATACACATGCCCCTCAAAGGCTAACATGTGCATATTCTTATACCGGCATTGAAGGCACACGCCACCGTTTATGTGTACACGGCATGTGGTGGTATAGGAGGTATCTACACTAGTTAAGACTAAGGCCTCGTTTGGGAACATGCTAATTTAATAACTTTTTGGCTATTTGGCTAAAAAGGTAGGTAAAAAAAACTTGTATGTTTGGGATGACTTTTTGGCTAATTACGAAAAGATGTGCAAAACGTAGAGAGAAAAGAGAATCTTTGACTTTTTGGTATGAGTTGTTAGCTTTTTGGCTAATTTAGTAACTTTTTGGCTAATTAACTAAAAAAGTAAGTCCCCAAACGGGGTCTAATTCTTATTTTAATTTGGAGCTTGAGTATGACTAATAGAAATAGAAGTCCCTTGTTGCTCGACTTTGTACAATTCTTTCTGGATTGGGATGTGTTTTTCCGTTTTGAAATGATTTTCCAATTGCCATTCCTGCATGGCAATATTGTTGTAGACCTCTGGATTTCAGTGTAGCTGGTCATTCCAGCAAGATTGTGGTTCAGTGGGTTGAACTTTTTTGGGAGAGCTCTACATCACAGTTAAACCTGGGATGCCATCTAGTGGAAAATGGAGATGCTTCATTTATTGTATTACCTTCTTGTTGAGAGGTACAGAATTCAAGAAACATTTAAAGAATTTGAAAGATAATGAGTGAAATTCTACAATACTAAATGGAGTAGATTTATACTGAAATGGTTATATGTAAGTCACAATTTTATATGTTTGGGTAACCATGCTGCATTTCCCATCAATCAATTTGTTCCTTTAGAAATTGTTTTGCAGTTGCTGATAACAATTTTATTTGTTTAGTCCACATGACTAAACCATCCTAACTGAAATCAAATTGGTGTAACATACTTCTCATGAATGTTTATACGTCTAATGGTGCCTTGTCATGCAATACATCTATCTCAACATCGTATTTTACTTTTCCTTTTGCTTAGTTTATGTGGTTTTAAATTTACCTTTTATAGTTTGCTGGATAATAATTATTTTCAATGATTATTTGAAATATATTGTTTAATTACAAACTTTTGTTGTTAATTTGGATATCACATAAAGTCTTTCTCGGGAACTCTGATGATGGTGAGTGGTCTCTAGTTTCCACTTTTCTAAAATAGGCAAGTGTTTGTCATACTTGATGATGCTCATTTTGATGTGGAGGATAGAAAAATAGACAGGGGGCTGCTATTTGCTACAGACTTAGGTGCTGGGTCTTCTTACAAACTGAAGTGTTTAATTACACACTGTATTACACAATGTACCCAAAACCAATTTTGGGTTCGATTTGGAGAAGAAATGTCTTTGAAGTCTCATAGATATGTAAATTTCAAAATACCTCTTTGAAACTTAAAATGGAGATTGACTATTTTAAACATAATTAGAAGATCACATCCAATAGTATAGTTGAGATCAATTGGTTAGTCATTTTATCCACTAATTAAATGCATTTAATATGTTTTGTAGTATTGTATTAGCTTGACTGTGAAACCAATTTGTGGATGCTTTGCATGCATCCATTAGCAATTAGTTTTTTATTTTTGATGGCTTGGGTATTTTTAGGCATTGTTCTAGTTCCTCTAGTCAATGCTTTGAAAATCGGACCGTACAATGAACCGGAAAAGGACAGGATCAAGGGTCATTGATTTAACTGTCGGGTTAGCCGGAATCAAACTGTGACGTCATAAATAAAATTTAAATATATAAATAAAAATATAAGTACTAAAATTACTAGTGTATATAAATAATTGGTTTAGTTTAATAAGTTCTGATACATAAAAACAAAATACATAAAATAAATCATTAGTTTAGTTTAATTAGTTTGAGTGGCATTTACATCGAATAAGGATTAAATGATTTAGTCTAAAAAGTCATCTATTGTAAAAAATAAAAAAAAAAAATTGATCTAACGAGTAATGTGCAATACACTGCATAGTGGTTGAAATTTTGAACTGCTAGTTGAACTTGAAGCCTTGAGGGCATCCCACATCGGAAGTAGATGAAGAGCAAAGCCCCATGCCGTGGCTATAGAAGGAGAGGCTCACACGTGCTTTCTTTGCTAGTCAAAGGCAAGCTTTCATGCGTGAGTAGCATTAATTTTGCCTTGGCTTAAGCCCGGTCAGTTGTGGCGAACCGGGAATGGTTTGCCTGGTTTGCTTTTCTTTGGACCTTTTTTGTCAGTTTTTGCTGGTTTTGATTGGTTTTAAGTTTAAAATGGTTTTAGGGGTGTATCTGGACTGGATTTAAAGCTGGTTGATGGTATCTGGTCTGGTTTTTAAACATTGCCCTTGGTCTTAATAAACCGGAATCAGAATGATGAGAACTGTACTGAAAGTTAAATCAGATTTGGTTTTGGGGGTTATATAGAACTGAATTGCTGATGCAGAATTTGTACTGCTGACTAGCAGTCTTCTCCAGGTCCCATGCTGTTGTTCAAAATAATAAAGGACCATCATGGCAGTGTTGTTTTCTCTTTTACAGATGGTTGAGAAATGACATTACATCATTAGTGGGTTTTTGTTCTTGTTCATTTAAGAAGCATGGATACGGACATGTGACACGATACGGATACAATACGGATACGCCAACACGTTAATTTTCAAAAAATGCAGGACACGACACGTGGGGGATACGTAAGACATTGTTAAAATTTACCATCACCTACCACCAATTTACCATCACCTACCACCATCTACTCCTTACCTACTCCTCACCTACTACACTCACCCTCTCCTATATAATGAGCCACTCACTATTTGTAATATACACAACAATATATATCAATCAATAATACATAAATTTTTACAGACATATATAATTTTATATATTTATTATATGTTTTATATCTTCAAAGATAATAAAAAATGAAATATGAAACTAATTTCTATAAATTCATATGATTTTTGTCTTATTATTGTATCTTAAGTTGTTTTGTTCAAACTTATATTAGTGTCACATGTGTCTAATTGATAGGCACGTGTGTTTAAGCGATAGGCACGTGTGTCCTCCAAGTGTTCAAAGAGTGTCTGGGTCTTTAAAAAAATTTAAAAAATAAGACACGTTTTGAAGAGTGTCTGACACGTGACACGGATACGTCACCTTCTTAGAAATGTCCGTGCTTCTTAGTTGTTTGTCTTCATTGATATGCCATTGAGTATTTCTTTGGAGGAATCCCACCTCTTCTGCTCCCATATAGCTCTCTCTTGATCTATAACATATTTTTGTGTTTCTTACCTAAAGTCTAGGTAACAGTTGGTGTGTCAAACACTTATGCTTGTTAGTCGCACAGCACATGTCCTTGTGTAGTCAGATGTTGCATGTTAACTTTTATTTGCCTTTAAAATGTGTAAAAACATTTCATTTATAGTTTCATCTTCTTTTTTGATAGTTTGATTTACAATTTTGTTCATCAAAAAGTTTGTACTTTGGAATATGATAATTTTTTTTAAAATTTTTTGATGCTTGTGGAGACTTGTCACACTTGCAAGCTTTGCAAACCACACCGCCTCCACCCCACGTCCCTGGGCATAGTGTCTGGAAAATGCTAAAATAAGAAGAATCAGCTATTAAAGGCAAGCAAATTAGGTTCTTTAATATGTGTACAAAAGAACTGTGCATGAGCAATTATTTTTTAAGTTCCAAAGTACTAAATTAACTTGCTAGGAGCAACCTTCTTGAATGCAGTGATTGTTTAACTTGGGTTTTTGGGCATTAGATAGACTTTGGAGCCTAAAAGATACTTTGACACATCATGCACGTTATATTTTTTAGTTTTAGAGAACGAGTATTTAGTTGTAATTTTTGTGGTTAGCGTATCATATTCTCCCTTCCTCCCTCCCTCCCCACCCACACCCACACCCACACCCACACCCAAGCCCATTTTAGAGAATTGGAAAAGTTTATGGACAAATATAATGGAAAGATGATATTATGTAAGTACTATTTTGGCAAAATTGCAGATCATAGAAATGATTGCTAGTAAGATATTCCTTTTTTCAGGCACATTTATCAAATGCCAACTCTCCTTTGTAGTATGGATAGTTCATTAAGGTTGAGGTTAAGAAATTTACCAAAATCTAATTCAGTTAATTCATTTAATTTCGATCCCTTACTCAATTAACATTGGTTGAAAGGTACCCAACTGACGTACAATTTAGGAGAAGTTTATCAAATCACATCTCAATTTCATAAATAAAACATCCAAACTCAACTCAATTAAACTACAGTTAAAAAGTAGCGGTGAGTGGTGACGTATATGACTTAATTTTTAACTAATGCACAAAAGGAAATACAATCCACAATCAAAACTATGATATAAAAAGAAAAAGTGAAGGAATTGTCAATTTCCTTAGAAAAGGCAGTTCATAGTGAGAGAGAGAGAGAGCTGGTGGTGGTTGAGAAGAGAGGGGGGGGGGGGGGGGGGATGAGAAATGAAATTGAGCTGCTTTTTCAATTGTGGGGATAGGGTGATTATTTGGGATTGATGTAAAGAGACGTGATTAGCATTGAGGGCAAGATTGAGGGAAATGCGGATTTTTAAAAAGTTTCACTTGTCCTTCAGACGGGCTACCATATGAGCTATAATTCAAAAGCACTTCTTGGGCAGCTTAGGAAAAGAGCAGATTTTTCAGCTTAAGAAAAGTCTGTTTGGTGCCAAAAATGTGTGCATAACACTTTAGCATTTGGAAAGTTCATAACCTGGGTGACAAATTTGTTCCAAATACCAAACCAAACCAAACCAAGCCTTAAGTCTCATCAAATGGGGTCGGCTACATGAATCCTTCTTCCTCCATGCGGCCCTATCAAAGGCCATTTCGTTAGTCAAATTTGTTCCAAATGGTGTGTAAAATTTCATGGTCATTAAATACTTTTGTTTTTGGTTACGAATTCTTGGTCGTTGAATATTTTCCATGTAAATGAATATTAATCTTTACATATTTGGGTATTTGATACCAAATTTGTGCTCATTTTCGGTTTTCCTTTAGCATATATTGTAACACATGATGTGAAATGTACCAAACTTCATCCTTTGACATGATATGTGGCTTCTCAATCTTTGATTGTGAGATATTCCTTTATTATTAATTTTAATGTAATTGTGGAAAGTGAATTCAGATTTCCCCTGGGGTTTGTTTAATTCTGGTCAAGAATAGCAAAATGATAGAAAGGATGAATTTTTTACAGTTTCAAAAGTAGCGTATAAGAAAATACATATTTCTAACGCTGATATTTTGAATTTGTCACTTTCATCTTCATCTGAGCCTTATTCCTGCTCTTTTCAGTTGGCTGCACAAATTTCATTCTGTAGTTCAATACCTTCATAAAGCTGTGGTATTCATTGTCATTTGACTCGCAAATTATTTATTTTATTTTTGGGATTCTGGTACTTGTCAAATATATTTATTGAGTCAAATCCCTGAGTTGTAACGTTGTAACGTCACAAGTATATTGAATTTATTTATTTTTCTCACTATGTCTATCTTGGCTCTTTTGATTATCCAGAGCTCTGGCACCCATCTAATCTTGTCTCTGCAATTTCTACCTTTCACTTTGAAAGCTTGTGATTCGATTTTGATTTCATTTTTTCAGTAGAATGCCCATTCTTTGGTAATTTTGAAGTGAACCTCTACAAGTTACCTAATCCTACTTTACTGGAAACATTGTCTTTGATCTCTTCACCCATGCCTATAGTTACCCTAGATAACAAAAATGACCTTACCATTTGCATATTCGAGCATCTGGTTCAAATGAAGCCTGTGCAATGGCTGAGGTACCAAATGTCTCAAGTTTGACTGTTCTTGGGCTTACCTGGTGCATGTGCTTGTGGGTGATTTTGTGCATGCTTAGGAATTGGTCTTGTCTCAAAAAGAAATCATGATACATGGATGTGAACTACATATAATTCACATTTTGATATATGAAGCCATTTTTTTAAAACCTTTTATGCACAATGATATTCCTATTAAAGGCTCTTGACAGTAAGAAAGTTGGCTATCAAAACTAGGTCGAATACACATGCCACATTCGTTTGTTTTTTGCCTGATATCACTTCGTTCATATGTTCCCTAAGCTGACATGCGATGTGGAAGTGAAAAAAGATATCAATTTATTTTTTTTAGCTGAGCATATAGTCCTTAATAGAGAAAAATGGCAACGACAAAAAAATAAAAAATAAAAAAATAATAATAATAATAATAAAAATAATTCATGTAGTAGACCTCACTTAATTGGGACATGATGCTTACTTTGGTTTGGTTTGATACGAGTGGGAACCCCATTAACAGTGAGCGAGTTTGCTTAGAACTGCATACGATATCTCTTCTCGGTGCTATGCAATTTGTGTGCTTCGTAAGGCAAGAAGGATGTTGTCTTTGTCTGTACATTATCGTGCTTCAATATTTCGTGCTTCTGTTCTTAAGTTTTGTATTGACATGCATACAGACTTGCACAAATGTGCCTTTAGTGCTCTGATATGTTAATAGGCTTGTAGTGTTGTACTTCTTGTTGTGGAACTTTAATGCCTCGGTATGTTATTCCACATCTGATCAGTTAATTATTCTCTGGTAAATAATCAGATTTCTTAATTGTTTCAGGGTGCACCACTTTGCACTCACTATGCTCAGAATGGGGTATGCAGGTTTGGGCCATCATGCAAATTTGATCATCCGATGGGAACACTGAGTTACAGTCCATCCACATCGTCTCTTGCTGATATGCCCGTCGCTCCTTACCCTGTGGGATCTTCAAAGGGTACCTTAGCCCCATCATCCTCATCATCAGAGTTGAGGCCAGAATTTATGTCAGGATCTCACAAGGATGCCCCTGCCCTATCAACCAGGATGTCTTCTTCTATGAGCTCCTGGCTTCAAGAAGATGCTTTGGCCTGCTGCACAGAAATTCCTTGATGTGAAGACAATTGCAAAACTACAGGTCTAACATGTTCTACTGAGGGAGGTTGCCTTCGGTCTAACATGGGTCCATGGAATGATCCCGAGATAATGAAGCTTGTATATAATACAGAAGGTCACAGTCCTGCAATTAAGATCTAGCACACTGTAGCTCTGTTTGTCTCTGTGTTCATATAATCTTCATATGGCCTCCTCTTTCATCTTAAATAAGCCATTCCCAACTTCAAAGATCACAAAACCCATATACCTTTCCCCAAGTTGCTTCGAAATAACCACGGAAAAAAAAGCCCGGTTTCATTAGGTAAATTGCACCTTCTCTCCAATTTTGGAGTTTGTTGTGTTTATTTATGCTGTGATCTTTTTTCGGAACGAAAAAGATCGGTCCTACATCACTACTCCCAAATTTACAGTGTGTTTGTCTATCTTTTGTACCGATACCTAAATCTGGAAATGAGCTTCCGATTCAACTTAGGAATGAATTTGGAAGTGTTTTTGTTTTCCCCTTTTTGTCCAGGGCTTTATTTTGGGCAAAAAAAGAGAAACTTCAGAAATTCCAAACAAAGCATTAGATCAGCTGCCTTATATGGGATTTTAGATTACTTGTGTTGTGAGAACTCAATTGCTTGATGGTTCTTGATAAATTTATTACCCAAATACAGAAAAAAGAATGAAGGAAAACCCTGAGACTTTGTAATAATAATTTCTGTCTTATTTTATCCATTGTTTATGAGATTTGACTATGTCGCTTCTCGGAGTTTTGATACAAAATGGAGATTTATTTTAGGAGGATTTTTGTCATGATTATCATATACTGTTATTTCACAAAAATGAAATGATGAACTGTTTATTGTTTTCGTTTTCAAAATATGGAAAACAAAAAAGCAGCCAAACAGGCTCTTGCTTGAAGATGTTTTTCATTTTTAGATGTTCTTCCCTTGTACTCTCCCTGGTGTTGTGTTGCATTGTGTTTGTATCAATTGTATACTGTTGGTTTTGCATTTAGGGCATTTTAGCTTGATTTGCTTTAGATGAAGAAACATGTTAACAATGCATGTCGATACGCTGATGTTGCAATTTTTGATAGTTTTTTGTTTTTGGAACAGATTTTGGTTTCTAAGTTTGTCCTTGCAAATTTTTTAAAAGTTTTGAGAAAGAAGTCTTGGTTGCATGTTTCAAATAATGTGCTATATAAGTTAAATAATTTTCTTGCAAATATTTATATGAAAAATTATTCAATACTTCCATTGTGACGTGTACGTGGTGTTCCTGACCAATAAGATTGTACAAAAAGAGGTATGTTGAGTTGGCTTTACTCAATTCTTTGACTAGGTCTTATTTGTTTGAGGATATACCACCATGTCAACTCATCGTACCCTAAGCATGACCATAAATACTATCCTCAAATTTATTTATTATTATTATTGCTGGTTTTTATTTATTTTTATCAATTCATTTTGAACTATTAAATTATATGAAAAGTTCAAATTTCGAGATTCACAAATATATTTATTATTATTATTTAGTTTGTTTGGTTTTGATTTTTAAAAAATTTTATTTTTTGATTTTGTATTTTCTTTTGTTTTTAATAAATTTTTTAAAATATTTTAAGTAATTTTTTTTAAAAAATTTAGACACATTTAATATAAATATACTTAAAAAGTATAATATTTGTAAATTTTTTTTAAAAAAATTCACTAAATACCAAAAATATAAAATAAAAAAAAATAAAAATTTAATACATTTTTCATATTTTTGTGTATTTATTATTTTTTAAAATATTTTTTTACAAATATTTTACTATTTAGATACATCTAAATAAGGTGTATTTAAAAAAAATATAAAAAATTATTTAAAATTTTAAAAATATTTATTAAAAACAAAAAAAAATATGAAAAATAAAAAACTTAATTTTTAAAAAATTGAATTCAGAAACTGAAATCAAACATGATTATTTTTTTATATTTGGTATCAATACGTTTTAACTATTAAATTATATGAAAAATTCAAATTACGCGAATCTCGAAAAATTATCATTGGAAAGGAGGATAAAGGATCCTGTGCCTCCAAACACATTTAGAAACAATTGGTTACCCAAATTAATCCACCTATGTGTACGTGAAATGATTGTTATTTGAGAAAAGTTAGGGATCATAAAATTTTTTTCATGAAAATGATCATGAATGATTTGTGTTATTTAAATTCCCTTACAATGGTTGATTTGATGCAATTTCCAATTTTCTTGTTTAATTTATGAATTTAGATAGAAATTTAGAAGAAAAAAAAATAAAAGAAAAAAGTTAAGTAAATATATATAAAAATATAATTATATTTCACACACTTTTCATACAATTTCTTCCTTTTCATTTTTCAAACCTCTATCTAAATTTATAAACCAAACACTGGGGCTGGAAAGAGGAGGGGAGAGAGGCGAATCGGAGCGACTAAATCTTAATAGAATGTGGCAGTAAGGCCACTCTATCATTTACAATATCCCGTTGCGTATTTAAGTCGTTTGTAAAGGATTTTACTAGCCGCTCAAGATAGAAATTGTACTTCAAGGCGGCCTGTGTGGCGGAAACGGTTCTTTTACTTATGTTTAATTTTCAGCAGTTACTTTTGTACAAGCAAGTAGGGCAATCCAACACTGGATTGTAGCTCGGTTCTTTTACTTTAGTTTAATTTCTAGAAATTACACAAGTATAAGATAGCAGGATAATCCACTACGGAATAGCAATGCCAAAAGTTGGGTGTCAATGTGCCTTGGAGCTCTGGTCGGGAGTACTTGTTGACACATCTCGCATTGTCCAATAGCATTGAAATGCTAATGGTCTTACAAAAAAAATGACTTTGGGTTGGCTCAGTCGTGCCAATGTTTTAAGTCAATCTTTACGATCTTGTGTATTAAGGATTTGTGTTTCTAAGCTAATTCAAAATTAAATGGTTGCATTCAATATTTGTTCTGTGTAGCTAGCCCCAAAGCTCACGCATTCTATGACGTGGTGATTCACATCATATATTTGATTATTCAAAACCATTTGCCAAGTGAATATGAAATTGATGCCGAAGGAGGCTTTGAGGAAGTGATGGTTTGATGAAGTTGAAATAAATTTGTTTTTCTCTTTTCTATTAAATATCTTTTCAATCCCTGTGTGATTATTGGATGGTTGCATTCAACATTTGTTATGTGTGTTGGAGAAAAATGGTTGAATAAGAAATTGCCTCATAAATATGTATATAACTCACACATTTAAGGCTCATCAGTTTTACAAAATTGATTGGGCAGTTTTGCTAGCATTAGTTGCCAGCCTTGATGGCTAGAGGCTCCTCCCCTCTCCCCCCATGGTGTATAAAAGGAGGCCCTATTCATTGAAAAGAGATATAGAATTTTTCCTTGACATCCATACACTGTCAGTCTACTTCTCCTATAATTTTCTTCCTGAGAGAGAGTGCTGCCGTTGTCCGTTCGCTAAGCTAATCAGAAGGTGCTTCTGTTGTAGCTGGTAAAAACCATCGTATCCTGGGAAGTAGACGCCGGAGTACCTCCAGCACCTAACGGTGCGGCGGCCAATCTATTTTAAAGAGACTGTGGTATCACACAGGCTTCGGTTTGCTTCCTTTAACCATTTATTTATAGGTGTGTGTAATAATTTTGCGTGTAATTGGCCACTGGTAGTACTAGCGAGTTAATTGGTTTATTAGATGCATGTACACAGGGTTAAGCTTTTGATTTTGCCATTTTGTGTATGCTACTGTTTGGTCTTCCCATGGCATGGAATAGGCCACTGTTATCAATAGGGAAGAAGAGTTCCATTGGTGCAACGTTAATTCACTGTATTTTCTAATTAATTTATTAATTTATGGTGTACCGGTTTATGCCTTGTATTTCTAGATTTACATGCTTCTAGTTCACATGCTTCTAGTTTACAATATAAATTACATATTCATTCCGGTTTAATTTTTAGTGTAATTTACATTTCTAGCATGTTTATTAGGTAGTAAATTTTCATGTAACTTGTACCTATTAATCTTTAATTTAGGTGTGGAGTTTGCAAAGTTTATAACTTGCCTATATTTAAATTCATGATAATTTCTCTAGAATTATTTGCATGTTAATCATGTCATTTGCAATTCTTGCCTAGTAATATGATTTAAGTATTTAGGAGTTATAAAATGTTTGTAACTTGCCTCAATTAATTACATGTTTAGTGTACCATAAGTTCATATGTAACCTTTACCAATTTAAAATATGGTTTAATTATATTTAATTTAGGTCTGTAACTTATATAGTTAATTACATGTTTATTATGTAATTAATTTTTTACAGTTTTTTTAGTTTAAATTCTAGATATGTAACTTAAGGGTTGGTTTTAATCTTTACTTACAGTTATTTATTAGTTTGTTTGATAGTACCCTCCCCTTCAATCACTACTTTGCCAAAAGCAAAGAAAAGCTGAGGGAGGTTTTGTTGTATTTTGCTGCTAACTCTTTATTGTAGGAATACCTATGGAAATGGGAAAAAGGATTAATTTGGACTAAATATTTGAAGCAATTGTTTGCTTGAGTGTTCATTTGTGGTTATTCACCAATATGTAAAGCACGTTTTATTTGCTTGTAATTATTGTAGCAATTTTGTTGTAATTGCTTGTACAGTTTGGAACTTGGTGTGTTTAACTTAGTTCATCTTTTGAAAAATTTAATTCTTAAAGTTGTTTCCATGGATTAGGAGTCAACATGCTCTTGAAAGTTTTGTCTAAGGTTAACTGGGTTTTAAGTGGGACCGGTGTGACCCCTCCAGTCTTCCTGGAAACTTTCCTGACCATGTTGGATTCTAGGTTGCGTGGTGAGACTAGTTTTGAATTAAATTTCCAATTGTGGGATTTTCTAGTGTTAAGTTTGATTACTGGAAATACAGAATAGTGAAAATTCTGCTGTAATTCTTCAGAAATGGCAACTGTCTCTGATGCTGCTGCTGCTAATGTTGGTGGGGATCCGAAATCCGAGGCGACTAGCTT